CTATTGGCGATACTTTGTTTATTTCACCATCAACACGATCCAGTAGCAGGGTAATCAACCCCACGCTTTAGTACGTCGATTACGTCCGTATTGATCGACAAACCATTTCACTCCCGCCCGTACTGTTACCATGGCCGAACCAAACAAAACACGGAACCAACTATTCCCTTCCCATATTCCAGCGGAGGAAAAGTTCCATTTGCGTTGATGTTATCTTTATATACAACCAAACAGTGCCAAAGTTGCCATCATAAAGTGGTGAAGTAGGCTCGTATGTAATTGGTTGTGGTGGGGGTGCCTAATATTGGTAGCAAGGCTGCGGTGGTGGTGGTGGTGGCCCATATATATGTTGCTCATTTTTTGTCGACCTTCATGGACTGCTATGAACTCATGGTTCTTTTGGGGGCGTTCTGGACGTTAACTTGCTTTGAGTTGATGTCTCCAGCTCTATCCATCCTTTGCAATTGTTCAACTCTTTTTTTTTCAAAACATAACTGATCATACATAATTCTAAGTTCTGCCAATTTTGCCTCTTCATTGAATGGTTCTTTCTTGTGCTTGTCTTGCGGAGGCACGAGTGTATCATTTTGAATGTCTTGAGTAGGATGATCAGAAGGTCACACTAGATTGTTAGCTGCGGTTGACGACTGTCTTTTGAAGGTCAACTCCTCAAAAGGGTTAATGAGTGGTGTATATATTAGTTTGTTTTATTGTTTTGAGTTGGTGTAGTAGCCAGTAAAATAATTGCATCGGATGCATGGACCACTCTAGATACTAATCTACGTGTTTTAGGTGGAAGCTTGTGGATCATTCGGAGGTGTCCTCGATGTTGGTTTTTCTTGTTGTCTTTGATGTTTTGAGCCCAAACCGTGGATGGTAGCAACTGTACGTCGAGATGCATCTCCCTCTCTAACCCTTGTTAAGCCAGGCTCGAGAGAAATACATATACTCCAAAGAGGGCAATGAAGGTAACCTAGTCTAAACAAACTCAAGGAAAAACAATGTATTCAATCTTTCTTTTCAATTGCTACAAGCACCATATTACAAAGAAGGTGAACATACGCTCCCAAAATTACAAGATACCTCTACTCTAATCTACCAACTACATTCCCGACATATTTGGGGGTACCCCATGATCTCCCAGATCTGCCAATTTCGTGGTCCTCGCTTGCCTCGCTCCTCATGCCTCTAGATCGGGGTATGGGGTAGACCTTCGGGGCCCTCCAAAGTGTTTGTACCTCTCCATGCTCATAGTGTATCTCCGAGACCTTTGCGGTAATCTTCAGAAATCTCACTTCTCCTTCCTACCGTCTTTACTCTATCCTAGCAACCTTTGAGTCATATGCACTAGCGTAGAATGTAGCATACCTTCATGGAGGTGACAGATAGGGGTGCTAGAAGGAGGGTGTGGCGTTCTTGAAGGTCTTGAACCCAACAAAAAATACAAAGTAATGGATAGGTTCATCGTAATCCTGCATAGATATGTATGTAGTACTCCCTCTGCGGAGTATCTATATAGGCGTTGTGTTAAAAAGGAGGAAAAGTAAAAAAAAAATACTACCTTTAGTATATAGTCTATGTCCAGATAACCCTCTAAACTATCGTTTGGTTCGGTTTACTCTCCTCAAGTATTTTAGTTGGTCCAATTAACCCCTCAACAAGATTTGTTTTTTTTTGTTTCTCCACATTCAAGTTGATTTTAATTTCAATTTTTATGAGAGGATAGCTAGCACCATTATTTATGTTTAAAAAATATATCATAAATTTATATCATTGTGTTTGACAGGTTAGGACATATAATAATAAATTAACACTATAAATACAAATTGTATTAAACATAGTGATATAAAATTCATAATGTACTTTAAAAAATAATATATGATGCTACTATCAGCTCACAAATTTTGAAATTAAAATTCAACTTGTACATAGAGAAATGAGAAAGACAAATCTTGTTAAGGGGTAAATTGGACCGGGGGTAAACCAAACTAAACATTAGTTTATAGAGGGTTATCTGGATAGAATTGATACTTGAAGATAGTACTTTGGACTTTTTTCTAAAAAGAATAAAAAAGGGCAAAGATAAATAATTATTATTAATTATAGTATAACATGAACTTTTAATACTTATGTTTCCTAAAATTTTTGTGCACTGGTTACGTTGTTTGAACGCGTTCTAGGCTGCTTGCCCATAGAATGACTAACATCTAAAATTTATATACCTGTTCTTTTATTTTATCACAGACAGTACAATAGTACTGATTTGTAAATGTAAGGGGTCAATGTTCTTAATTTTTTCCAGTAGTAGTTTATGAAGATGCTATCAGCATTGGAAGGGGACCACATAGAATCTCGTGAATATTTTTTCCTTGCTGAAAATAGTTTAGAACTTGATAAACTATTCAAGCAAGATCTTAAGCTGAAACCTTATTGGCAGAAATCTTGCCCAGCCTCTAATATATAGACACATCAGCAGCACATGTGATGAGTCGGATCGTTCAGAAATGGTCAGACCTCGTTTAAGCCACTAAATCATTGACACACCAGCAGTGTCAACTCTGACTAGGCAGCCAACTCAACCGTAGCTTGAGGATTCTTTATTAAGGCCAAAGCATGTTGCTGTTGACTTGTTGCTGTTGTCCTTATTCTGAGCATAGTACGACTTTGACAGGTCCCATAACAGTTATATTATTTTGTTGGGAAACAAAATAATTTCGATCGAATGAGGTTTGCTAAATTGCTTTCTGGTGTTGATAGCTGTTGTAGTTCTCAGCAAGTAAAGTTCTGTCTCATTATATATGCAAGGGTTCTTTATATTTTGCCTCATTTACAGTGGGGAAATGAGGCACCGAACGCATCCTTGCCCTTAAAATTCACTTATTAAGCTTAGGTTTTTTTAGGCGGATGGGCATGTGGCCCAGTAGTGAAGGCTCCAAGGGAGGAGCAGACCTACGGGGGTTCGATCCCCCGTCCCGCACCTGCCTCCTGTGAAGGCTGCACCAAATGATGCTTTTAAAAAAAAAAGCTTAGGTGTTTTACATACCTCATCTTTTGCTAACTTCTCACCTAAAAATAGAGTCTTGCCATTAAATGATTCTCATGTAAAAGGTAACCATTCTCTTTGAAAAAGATTATCCCTCCTCCCTTGCTCCACCCCAGCCCCACACCTCTTCTTGTAGCATGTCCATGTGTTTTTCAGCAATAAATTTCATTTGTAGAAGCAATACCACATTAGTTCTCTTCTATGGAATTAAATCATGCCAATTTGAGCAAACAACAAATATGTGCTTTATATTTCTGTATTAACATTTGTTAGGACTTTGATTTCTTCTCTATATGTTTATACAAGGAGAGTATTTGCGAAGAGCTCCAGTGATGGCTTCAACTTTTAGGTCCACCCTTGTTAGAATACGGAAAATAGCCCACCCTAATACCATTAACACTAACGGAATTCAATTTAGACTTAAAGTGAAAGGAAAAAAAAAACTCTGCTATATTCAATACCAAACCGATTTACATGAAGGAGAGAAAAGACTTTGTACAATGTGCTATACAATACCAAAGAGTTTTACAAATTACTACTACAATTTTCTTATTGCAGAAGAAACTCATTGCAAATAATTAACTGAAAAACGAGAGGAAGTATCAGGCGTACAAGAGAATATTGGTGCTCACGTGGACAAACTCATTCTTATCCATCGATCAGATCCAATCTGAATAGTCTACGTGACATGTGAGACGAATCTCCTTATCCCTCTTGGGATGATTTAGGCCCTCTGATCGAAATCCAATTATTAACAGGTGAACAATGGGTCAGCAGATTCCTACCCCTCACTTGTGCGGTTGTGCCATTCAGATCCTATTAGATTGACTTTGTGCACAGATGCATCAATAGAGTCTTGTGTGCACCAGATACTCCACCCGTTCCAAAAATGTAAGGCGAGATTTGACTTAGTAAATTTTTTAAGATCATACTTTGACCACTAATTTCTCTTACAATATATGATTTATCGTTACAAAAAGTTTGATCATCAAAGAAAGTATTATTTTAAAAATACAAATATAATGTAACCACTTCTGAATTATAAACTTATCATATGATTAGAATAAATGTTGGTCATAGATAATAGAATTTGAACTTCGAAATATGAGCATGCTTATAATACTTTAGGACGTAGGGAGTAGCTTTAATTCATTTCTTCTAGGGTACAGATGGAAATTTTTGAATCAGCTCCTAATGGAATCCAAACATGAATATTAAAAATGTAATCCATTTATACTATTTTAGTTTACTAAGAAATGAAATCATAATCCATTTCTTTAGATTCTTGGGATTCACATATGTCCTAAATGTTTATCCCCGTACCAATATTCAAGCTTTGATTGACAATGCCATCGACATTTAATTCTATCCAAGATTCAATCTCGGCGACTCCTTCTACTAAACCCACGGGTCGTAGATATATAGTGGGAGGAAACAACCTAGTTGACGTGCCGAACCAAGACAAAATGGAATTTCATTTTCTATTGACGAATAAGGAGGTCTCCTAATAAGAAAATATAACAAAAATCTAGCTAGCTCTATCATGATTTATTGAGTTATATAGTACGAAGCAATGGTGGGCATCATCAATAACAAACCACGCAACAAGCTCAACAAGCTCCAAAACCACCCGAGTCAAACCGCTTGGGCATTAACAAAGTCCTGCCGTCACCGATTCACCATTGGACACCTCAAGAGCCAATGGAATGGGCAATGCCACCTCCCCCGCTTCTACCTTTTTATAGCCCCCCTCAGTTCCGCTTTCCTGCGCAACACTTTCCTCTGATTTCTTCTCCCAACTCGATTGCAAACTTGATCAACAACATCTTCTTCTTCTTGGAAGGATGTATTAGCTTCTAATAAAGCGGATTAAGGTTTTGTGGTTTATGCACACCATTGGCAGCGACTCTCTGCTGTTTGGGTTGTCCAGAACCATCTCGTCGGCGCAGAAGCCAGCATGTCCACTACGCTCGGGAGCGGCAGTCTTAACCTGGCTGCCGGTGCGTCGGCGGCGCCGGAGGTGGAAGGCCACTGGGCGCCGCACGGCGCGGTGCTGACGGCCTGCGTCGTGGGCATCAACGTGCTGGTGATCCTCCTCATCTTCGGTTTCTTCTGGCGGTTCTTCTCTGGGAAAGGTGGGCCGCCGTCCACGTCAGACGACGGCGCCGACGACGAAGACGAGGACTCGCTGCCCGTGGCCTCGCCATGGGCGTCCCGTCACCGGCACGATGACCGCCTCGGCGTGCAGTCGACGCCGGTGGAAGACGTGGCGTCGTCCCTGCCCGTGTCCGTGTACTCCAGCGCCGGCTCCGGCGCCGAGGAAGGAGGAGGGAAGGCTCCCGAGTGCGCGGTGTGCATCGTGGAGCTGCGCGACGGCGACTCGGTGCGCGTCCTCCCGCGGTGCGGGCACCGGTTCCACGCCGGCTGCGTGGGCGCGTGGCTGCGGCTCCACGCCACGTGCCCGCTCTGCCGCGGCAGAGTCGTCGCCCCCGCCGCCGCGGCCGTCGCTGACGCGTCCAGGAACGCCAAGGACGACGACGACAACGTCGCCGCGGATGATTGTCCCGTGTGAGGCGGCCGAGAGGCCAGATCGCTCTCTCGATCTGGCAGTGCATGGCGAGCAAGCAAGTGGACCACGTACACGGCGGAAGGTGACAACCATTTCTTCCACCTTTTCAGGTCGGCGTCCATGTCGCTTAGCACCAGATGACCTGCTAGAAAAGGTTGGTGAGGCGATCGATTCCTGTTCTTCATATTGTGTGATGTATGCATGTATATTTCTGGTTGGTTTTCAGGTTTTGGGATTAGATATATCGAGTCGTATATATATCGTGAATGGAGTCTTCGACCATGTGTAGTGTATGCATGTGAGATCTGCATGATTAATTACTCGTTGTATGAACTATATATGATATGGCCGATTTGCTAATTGCATTTTGGCATGCATATGCGTTTGTAAGACAGTAGAATTACTGGTAAAAATATATAGTCTGTGTTTGTTTGCCACTTTGCCTTTGAGAGAAGGACGGATCATCCAATTCTCTGGTATAAATAAATACGACGAATACTGATTCTTTCTTCTTGAATGAAAAATTTGATGCATGACGATTCTTTCTTCTTGAATGAAAAATTTGATCGACCTTTGCCCGGTTCCCTCGACTTATAAGCCATACTTTTTCAGTCAACGAACAATATTTTTCTCTCATAATAAATCAGCCAACAGTACTTTCAGTCATGTTTTATCAGTCAAACGAACAGGGCACTTATTGTGCAAGGGTGTATCTATATGGGTCGTAGTTGTCACGTCTATCACTCTGATAAACGTACTGAATGCATGCATAAGCATCAGATAACATAAGCATGGTGAAAAGGAGCAAAGAGCGGAAGAAGAATAAAACAATCTACCTTTGATACAAACAGATAAAATTGATCATCTGCTGCTATAATAACGCAGGTAGAAAAACTTTATTTGTATGAAGCAGGTTAGTCTTTTGAAACAAATTAAGGTGCAGCAGATCATTACGAGTTTCGTCTAATTTAGTTTCAAGTTTTATCGTGTGTATATAATAAGAGTGTCAGGAGGGCAATAGGACACATTTTCTTTTTCCGAGGCATAAATATTTTCTATTTCGACACAATCGTACCACTGCCAAAATGGTAGAATTTTTCTAATGTTTTTAAGTAGTAATAAAACAATACCACTAGTCAAAATACATGGAAATCCTCACTAGGGGGTATTTGGCAGGAAAAGTTTATACTAAATTTTGAATGCTAAAATATTAGGAGAATCCCACTTCACTAGGAGAAGTCTAAAATTCTGGTTGTGTACCTTTTATTCCAAATTCATGCCAAAATAGTAAGGTGTCCAACAAAGCTGTGTATATATCATTGTATTATATAGCTCATCACATACTAGAATTTTATGTTACATAAATATTAAAAGTTTATAATAAATCTATATATCAGGTTTTGACTTTTTAATCTTATTAGCTATTGTACTCTCTCATCCCAGGAAGAATGCAATTTTAACACAGTATCACGTTTTAGTAGCTTAACGAACTGAGCCCTCAGTTGGTTAGATTCCTTATGGTGAAACTTGGCCACCCGGGTTCAAGTCCTCGACTCGGTATGAGTGCTCGTATTTTTCTGAATTTATTCCAGGATTTAACGGTGTTGTGCTTTTAGTGGTAGGCGACGTTCCTGTTGACAGCGAGGCGCCTGTGGTGACTTTGTCAATCTTGAGATGTGCCGGCACAGTCTTTCGGAGGTGCTCATAGGGGTAAGATTTGCATACGTGTATTCATAGGGGTGAGTGTGCGTGCATGTCTGCTTCTGTACTTGTGTAATTCCCAAAAAAAAGTTTGACCAATTATAAATAAAAAAGTATCAATATTTATGATACTAAAAATACCATTAGATTAACCACAAAATACATTTTTATAATAAATTAATTTAGAGCCATAAATATGAATACTATTTATTAGAAAATCGGTCAAACGTAAACCACTTTATGTGGCACGCAACACATAGTTGCATTCTTTTTGTGATAGAGGTAGTAATTTTTTCATCAATGTGTTAATTTGAAACTCTAACGCTTTTTTTTTTTTTTCCAAAAAATCCTTTTATATTTATTAAGAAATGGATTTTAGGTCCTGTGCTCCACTCTTATTTACTACAATTAGAATAAACGGTTGCTTCGAACAGCACCACGACACTCAAGTTGACATCAAAGAATTATATTCTATCAGTATTGTTTAATTTGTAAAAAAATAGAGTGCTTACAGTTAAATTATCAAAATGATATTTCTTAATGTTTTAGTAAAAATGTATAAACTTCTATAAAATAATAACTTACAAAGTTTATAGTTCATTGAGTTTCAATATAATATAATGTGATTGTTAGCATCATTGGTATATGGTTTATTTTGTTGACAAACATTTTTCCATACTCAACAATCTTTAAAATGAATAGTTATCCTAATGTATACTTGTTTACTTGATCTAAATAATGATACATAACATTTAAGTTTACTTCTATTTTAACAATGGGTATACGTGCATAAATTAGAACATATGTGGTGTATTTTATAGATATTGAATTGTTTTCTATAATAGCTTATATTGGTATTTAGACGTAATTTGAGAGATATTTTAGTTATTTTTTTATGAGGACAGATAGGTGGGTAATTAAGATACAAAGTTTAAAAGGGTTATTTTTCATAGTGCGATGTAGGTAATTTAAAACGCAAATTTGGAGGTTGTTTTGCATTATTGATTCATAATGGCATATGTTGGTAATTTTGATGAGATGGAGATTTAGGACTTACTTTATGTAATTTATAATGGCAATGATGAGTAATTTTTGAGAAAAGAATAGATCTAGTGATTATTATAAGCGATATTCGTTGAAGTCTACCAAATGAAAGACTATGTTTATAATTATTTTGTGAACTTTTAGGACTTTTTTTGCTAGCTTGTCTTGTGAAGATAAATGTTGGAGCACTATTGGAAGCCTCCAATTGTTAATATTAAGATGCCTAAACCACAAAATTAATCTCTAGCCTAAACTACTTCGGATCTATGGATCGTTGCCGAGTCTGTACCCAACATCACTGTTGGAATTAGACACGACAGATGGTAGCCGGCAGTGATGGGCTTCCCTATCGGTACCGGTTCCTAGACCCAGCGGTGATGGGAAAGATATCACTAGCATCAAGGCTAGACCCAGCAGCAGTTTGGCTGGGATGAGCTGGCTGGTTTTATCTCTCACGAAATCATTGCTGCGTCAGGCATCTACAACAATCAGTGAGAGTATTTTTCAGTCCTGCCGAACAGGCCCTTAGGATGTCATTGCTGCGTCAGGCATCTACCCTGTAGTGAGAGTATGATACTCCCTGCAGGGTCAGTGGCTTAAACCCAGCACTGACATACATTTCTTAATTTTTTATTAATTTATTTTACCATTACATTTAAATAAAGGTTATTGTCTAATATTTTACATTTAATATTACTAATGAATCATATATATCTCATTGCCGTCAAGACTATAATACAATTACAATAAGCTCACACTACCCCAGATTAGGACAATACTGCTGGTTCAAAACACTCCATCACTGTCGGATTTTGAATGTGCACAACCAAACCGGCAGTGATGAGGGTTAGCTATCACTGTCGGTTCCTATAAACCGGCAGTGTTCTGCAACTTCACTGCTGGTCCTTTGCACAACCCGGCAGAGTTCAGTTTCACCAACACTGTCGCTTCATGAGACCACCCGATAGTGTAACCTTGAAAATCACTGTCGGTTTATGCCTTTAGCTGGCAGTGTTGTCGTAATCAGCACTGCCGGTTTGGGACAAGACCCGACAGTGATGGCTAAGCCAACGCTGCCGGTTTGTGGCTCAAGCCGGCAGTGCCATCTTGGCCATCACTGCCGGTTTGTTGCTAACCGACAGTGATGGCCCGTTCGTATTTTATTGTTTTATAATTTATTTTAATTTATATTTTTTCGTGGAATCAGGTTTCGCTTTATATACGCTACGTAGACGACAGGTCCATCAATATTAAACATTACAAATGTTACGGTTATAGTTCGAATGCTCTTATGAAGATCTCGATCCCTCAAAATAAAAAAGAAATTATTTGATAAGATGAAGCATGCTTCTCGGACTTCTTACAATAATCTAGCGAGCCGCTCTGGACCGTACTGGTCCTTAAACTTCATGGATTGTGTAATGAAAAATACTCCATCTTTTTCTAATACCTCGGCTAAGATGAATTTTGCCAGCTCCGATTGCAGTGCGACGATCTTCATGTCTAACAGCCTTTCGTGGTTATATCTTGCGTTGTCGTTCAAAAAAATGATACCCAAATAGGAATCAGTAAATCATTTTGTTGAATTATTAACAGACATATATGAAATGTGGATTATACACACCAACTTATCAGCTTCTTCCGATTTTCCGCTGATGTAGCGAAGCATTGCCCACATTACATAAAACTCGCATTCATTGTTTCCCAGCGGCTATTTTAGATACTTCCCCTCTATTTCAACAACCTTGAATGGGACCTGCGTCCCGTCGATATGTCTTCTTTGGACACTGTGCAACATTAAAAGGAGAAACATTAGAAAGCGGTATGTGTGACTAAAAAATAATATGTTATTAGGATCGCTTACTAATTCAGCACCGCCACCAGTGCATCCAGATGATGAAATGGTTTTTTCTTCGAGTCCCACACCTCGATCAGATTTTTAGCAAGATTGACACAAATGAAGACGAAATGATTGCTGCAATCACAGAATCCTAATTATTGAATAATTTTAACGAAAAAGAAGCATAAAATTAAAAACCGAGAACACATACTTGCAGTTGTAGGCTAGAAGTATGTGGGTTTTGTTCTTCATCTTGAATTCATCGAAAACAATAATCAATCTCTCTTTCAAGTCTTCCATGTCACATCCATAGAGGCCTAAACATATCTTCTCATTGACTTGCAAGGGATCCAAGAAGCCTATGTTATCCCATTTGCTTTTTAGTATGCAAAATTTTGCTATACACCTACATAAAATC